GCTTGGAGGACTATTGATTGAGTTTTGCATGTGATATTGACAAGATTTGGGAAATCTGTCACTATTTTGATTTTGCCAGTACTACATTTATATCCAGTGTTCTTTCCCAGTTCCATTGATATAATGGGAGAAAAAACAAATACAACAAGGCCTGTGCTACCCTATAGTCAGAAAGGACAGAAAATATAAATATGCTTTATTATTTCTATAACTAGAAGAACAATCTTAAGTACTTTTTTGAATGCTCACTACCCCATCATTTCAGCAGTTGCACAGATGTGTTTGCAAGTTCGCACTTGATACTGTGCTAATTGTCACAAAGTTGCAAACAGCACAGTAAACATTTCCACTTCTATAATTATATTATGGCTTATAATTATATTTTGTGCCATAAATGAACACTTGTATGGGTTCATACGTTGTTGCATATCCTCTGGGGTTTGAAGGAACATTGTGAAATACTAATAGGAAAGCAAAATTATAGTAATATGTGTAAATTCATTCTGTGTTGATGATGACAAAATCTCATGAGGTTTTCTCTATGTGGGCCAAAATTGTGATAAGAATGACCATTCAAGTTTGCATTTGTCTTAACTGAATACTGAAGATGATTCTCTTCCACACACAGAGGAAAAACCTGCTTCACGACTATGGACATATTAAACCTTTTGCTGGAATTAAAATTTCCTCTTTATCTAACAAGCTCTCTCTTCTCTATCAAAATAAAAATCTTGGCAGTTTTAGTCTGGATCTGATTTTGACTTACTAGAAAGTATTGAATTCATAGGATTGAAATTCTGTTTAGACTTCTAGCTTAAATATTAATCATAGATATATTGCATCAAGGAAAATTGTTACAAAGTTTGGATGGCTTATTCAAACTCAAAATGAATAGCTAAAATAAACTTGTATATACTTATACTAACCTTATTTCCTTGATAAACTAGAGATTATTTTAGATATGTTACAAAATTATTTGCACAGATTCAGAAGTCATACAAAAAAAAAGTTCCTAGTTCATTCACAAAGTCATAATTTTCTGTCTTAAGCCATCTTGTATAAGTAAGCAGTGGTGAAACTGAGGTTTAGATACAGAATTGGTGACTGCTGTACCCTTAACCTAGGTAGACCCGCACTTCTAATTCTGACTGCAGTGATTTGAACAGCTCGTACATCCATGTTTTCCACTGTGCCTGATGCCAAGTGACCTATAGACCTTTCTGTATGTATGTCAGCATAAGTTTTTTGCTCAGTCACAAGCTGAGCAATCCAGCACCTATATCATTCTTGTCACTTCATTTGTATTTGTTGTGATTGGCTTTTACACACTGAAAACAGCATCAGTGGGGATGCCTGTGCTTTTTGTGTAGAACAATTGATATAAAAATCACTGCAAGATATGTGGCTGGGAAATGCATGTCACTCATTCACAGTGAACTGTGGTTAGTGGATGAACAGTCATCATGCTGATGATAATGGTGTAAAAGATGCACCAAGGGATGAGAACTGAAGATATTAAGAATATTTTGAAAAGCAGGAGACAATAAAGCTGAAGTTAATACATTTGCTGCCAATTTCAGGGGCTAAGAAATCTTGCTTTTTTTTCTCCTGTTGGAACAGACCACAGCCACATGTCCTGCTGTGTTCTTGATAAATGTTCCTAATGTGAGCTAGCAGCTTGGGTCAAATTCACTTTCATAAACATATATGTTTATCACTATTTGGGATGCTGTATAGCACCTGGCTAAACCTCCAGCTGCTCTTGCAGTCTGATATGGGTCTCATTGACTCTATAGATGTCTGGACATATTAAGATACCGCTAGATGCCTATATTTATGTGCTTGAATTGAACTTCAATTTCTTTATAGTCATTTTTATTTTGTTGATGTTTTTATTTTGTTGTGTGAGTTAGATTTCTTATTGAAGATTTACAATAGTTTGAAATTACGGTTTCTGACTGTACTTAAACATTGGTAAATCAAAAAATTGGTAGAGCTGTTGTGGATTATTTCTTGTTACAGTTGGGTGAAAACCTAGCGTAGCTTGTATATGTGACTGGTCTCTCCTGTTCCTGACATACGGTGGTATTGTTAGCTAGTAGTAGGGCAAATATCTATACTGTGTAAGCGGACCTAATTTAGAACTCTGTCCCCTTCTCCCTCTCCTCTCTGGCCACAGAATTATGGGGTCATCCACTGTCAGGATGACAAGGACAATAGAGATACCAAAACTCAAGTGTGGGGGACTCCAATCACTGTCTGATTAAGCCCATCAGCATTAGTAGTTTCCAGCTGCTGTGTCACTAGGATGTGGTGACCCCTGTCTTTGAACAGAGAAACATGAAAATACATGGAACACTGCCTGGTGTTTTAAAGTCAGGCATCTCCAAGCCCTAAGTGGGACTTAGGCTGGAATTGCTGCTAGAGAGCAAAGCCTGTGCTGTCCCATGGCCAAGGATACCTCCACCAACTTCTTACTCCAAGGACTGAATGACTCATGATCTTCTATGTAAAGTCTGACTATAGGTTATGATTATAATGCATGCTGATTGATAGGAATTTGACTGGATCTGAAAAGAATTCAGGTGACTGAGAGCACCACGTAACACTAAACTCTAGAAAATCTGTGGAAATAGAAGCAACGCTAAGAGCTACAAATTATATACTAACTCACATTTAAATTAAATATATTTAGTGATCATTTGTTTATTGATCAGAGTTTGTCCTTTTTTTTAGTTATCATTTTTCTTGGCTTCAAGAGATCTAATTTCCAATGGAATGCAAGTAGCATAATATTTAATTATTTTAATAGGTTTGACGCAAGGATGTTTATAAGTGCTCTTTGGTCTGCAAACTTCAGCATTATCTAACGTTTTTTTAGTCCGTAATATAGACATTATTAAGCATTTATTTAAGAAGACAAGATTTTGTTCTCAAGTATAGCATGTGATATTTAAATGCAGGAGGCTATTAAATTGAGTAGCTATACAGTTGAGTCATTCACTTTCAAACAGATTAATGAAATGATTGTACAGATAGGAAAAAAAAAATCATGCTCTGCAACTAGGTTTTTAATTCTTTGTTTTGTTTTATTTCTGCATAGTTTGCTGTGTGTTGCTTAATAAGATGAGGATTAATTTTCAGTTTCAATTTTCAAGTTAGGGTCAACAGTTGACCCTAAATGATGTACAAGAAAAATCAATACATCTGAGGAATAGAAGGAAAGAACTGTGAAAATTGAAGCATTTTGTTCTTAACTCACCTTCTCAGCTTGCTGACAGTGTATTACCTGGCAGTGTAAAGCAAACAAGGTTTGTTGTTTTTCTTCCTGGTGCTAGCCAGCTTATCGCTTTTTAATGCCAAGCCAGTTGTGTTTTTTCTGATTCAGAATGATAGTGTGATGCATTTGATGTGTATTTTATGACTTTCTAGGTTACTCCTAACGTTTTCCCAGTAAGTATGATTGGTTGAGAAGCTGCTATTATTTTTCTCTCATATTTGTGCAAAGAACTTTTTATAAATGGTTTGCTACACTGTTAAACAGTGCACTGGTTCTCTAGCTTTTCTTTTGGCTCAGCGTCTTTTCTGGTTATTGAAGGGAAAGATGAAAGGGATTGTTCTGGCAGGCAACAATGCGTGTCTTCTGCACTGTTGTGTGGTCACACAATGATATAGGTGCAGTGATGTTTCTCATTTGATTTCAGATCAGAACCATCTGCTGATCTCGGGACAAGCAGATTACTAGGTTAAGCAGTAAGCATTTGTCAGACTGCAGAGGAAGGTCACTGAGTATACTGTAGCCGTAGGCTGTGCTTTTCTTTCTTCAGTCTGTCTTTTTCATAGTACCTATGTTAAGTCTTTCAATTTAAATGCTATTGCTTACATCCTAAATATTCAGAAAGTAAGGCAAGGTGCTCATGAATAATTTCAGTATTTCATTTTCCCTATAAAAATATTTTTGCATAGCAAAAGATATGGTGACAAGAGAAGTCCCTGATCTCTCTAAACAAATTTCATAAATGAAGCTACTTTCTTTCTTTACCTTTGTTTTTCACTGCTAACGTGATAATAATAAGCAGGCCTTTAGAGGTACAGAAGGCAAAAAAAAAATGCATTGGAAGGAAATTAAAGGATGGGTAACAAAGGTAGTTTTGTTTCAAATGAGATAACTCAAAAAGATAAAGAGTCTCATAGAAATACCACTGTTCAGGATCTTTGTGAAAATGGAATCAAGAGCTAAAAGGACTTTTCTTCCTCGGTGTGGTGTCAAATTAAATGTTATTGACCTCCTTCAATGATTTACCGTATGGAGAAGACAGGAAGGATTGTATGCTGATATTTAAAAAAAAAAAAAAAAAAAAAAAGTTTTGAAACTATAAACACCTTTCACAGGCAAAACTCATCCTGAAGTTTACCCTTGCCAGAAGCCCCTTGGAAATCCAAAAAATCAAGTAGGTGTGTTCTGCTTGAGTAATCACATGTAAATGCAGATGTGCCAGCAGCACTATAATAATGACTGTAGTGTCTTTTGAAAGCACTCTGAAGCTTCCGTTCAAAGATCCTCTTAAATAATTAATTTTTTTTTCCCAATTTACATGGAATATGTAATGATATCCCTGAGAACCAGATTTCCTTCCCTTCTTTTCTTTCCCATTCAAGGAATAAGTACAGCATTTTAATTTAAGTCAGTGCTTGCTAACCTGTAATGTAAAGTGCCAATGGAAAAGAAAGTTGATGGAAGAATAGGTCTAGATAGTTCTTTGTTGTAAACCTCAGTAACCTTTTATGAATACAGAAGTGACAGCTTGAAGGACCAACATATCTCTGAAGTGATCATAGAAGGCTGACTTTATCTCGGCGAGACAATGTACTTTCTTATTCCTGGAAGACTGCTATATGATCATTTACGCTATCCTGTTTGTTAAGACTGGCTGGTCAACTGGCTGCATGTATTTGTAATCCATTGTTGTTTCTTTTTTTGTTTCTTTGTTTTTTGGCAGATACTGAACGCCTCTATACATTGGTGTTTGAAGAGATATGTGGGCGTTTTGGAAAGACCTATACTTGGGACATAAAATCTTTAGTCATGGGTAAAAAAGCACTAGAAGGGGCACAGATTATTCGAGATGTTCTAGATCTTCCAATAACCAAAGAGGAGTTATTACATGAAAGTAAAATGAAGCAGGAGAAGATATTCCATACAGCTGAATTGATGCCAGGTATGCTTCTCTTGAGTATTTCTAAACTGCTTATGGAATTAGCTAAATGCTAGCCAAAGTAGAATTTTTTAATCTGTCAGTAAAAGTTCCTCTTAGAGACTCAGTTTCATCTCTCTTGCTTTCGCAAGTTTTATTCAAATTTGTTACTTACACGTGAAAGATATTTTGTCTGTTGAAAGTACTGTTGTTTTTTTTTCTTATTTACTTGCACAGCTGCTTTTTATGTGTTTTAAAGAACAGAATAAAAAGCAATGTAAATATGCCCAAATTCAGTTTCATAAACTAGGACTCTTTAGAATGGATGCTGGCAACTGTGTAACACAATAAGTCATTTTTCTCTTGTCCAACTTTAAGCATAAATATTCTTTTTGATGTACAGGCAAATGTATTTGCCCCCCCCCCTCCCCTCTCCCCCCCTTTTTTTTTTAAGGTTGGATTCATCTTTCCTAATTTGAACATTTAAACTTAAGCATGACATCTGAGCCAGATGTGTAACAATGAAAAATGAGGGTTTCTCAGGTTATTCTAAGACAGAAAAGTGTAACCCCTCTATGAAGCATAAACCAACTGCCTTGATAGGTACAAGAGAATGAATCTCATTTATGATATAAATTCATACATTATATTCCATTACATTTACATATGGAATGCTTAGAGAAGAATCCTCATCCATAAAAACATAAGCAATATTTAAAACAAGGACTGCTGTTAACTTTTTGTACAAAGAAAAAGTCCTGGAGCAAATATCAATAATTTATGGGGGAAAAAAAAGGAAGTGGGGGAGGAATGAAAAAACAAACAAAAATATATGTATATTTAAATAAGGTCACTATGTGTCACTAAAAAAATTCCAAAGAGGTTTTTTTCTCTTTCAATGTGTGCTTGTTTTTTTGTGTTTTTTTTTGTTTGTTTGTTTTCTGGCAATTGCTGCAATATATTAATTATATTGTTTTAATTTTTATATCCTTTTTTTTTATACCTAGTTTCATAAGGCATTAAGAGGTTAATTGTTAAAAATTTGTGATGTGTTAAGACCAAATAAAAAGAAGCAAAAAGGAAAGATGTAATTTGCTTAGGTAACTAAAAACTTGAATCTCCTGCACAGCCAACTTATCTGCATGTCTCTCTGATCCTTTTTATATGCAGCATTTTTGAAACTGTGCCTTTCTTGCATGTAGATCCAACTAAGACTGTAAGCCTAGTTAAACTCACTAGGAAAACAAAAGTGATGAAGGGCTTTGTTTTTCATTTTTTATGTCAAACTTCTGCAGATATATCTCATGCAAGACAAAGAAAACCTTAGTCTGGGTTTAAAAAATGTCGGATAGATAGATTGGTGGTGGAAGTGTTAGAAATCACAGAGAAGAGTCACTTTAATGGAGCAGCACGTGTAGTAGATGCCACGGAGTGAATAGTCTATATTTGCTGGGGATTATGTTAATGTCAGTGAAGTAGCTTGAATACAGATGCAGAGAGATGATGGAATAAATTAGCCAAAGGAAACATTAAGCTTTACGCTGTTTCTTTCTTCAAAAAAATGAGTTCTGGGCTTGCTTGTCTGTTATAGATGAATCAAGAAAAATTCTTACCGAGGCAAACGTGGACATTTTTATCATTCCAGAATTGTTCAACTGGTTACTCTTTCAGTTCAACTGTATACATGGGATAATTTTCTTTAGACAATTCTTTAAAGCAGAATTAATGTTAATGTAAATACTTGATTCTTAATGCCATTGTGAGGATCAAATGCTGCCTTGGTCACTGAAGTAATGGGATTTGTACTTTATACCAATATATGAGATACAAGCTGAATGCCATGAATTTTAAGAAAAGCAGGTTGATATTAGGTATTAATCTAGAAAAAATTGCACTAGCTACTTAGTATTTATTTTATTTAAGGACTAACCTATGCTTCATTCTGATAGCCAGAGTTTTTTAATTGATACTTTTCTCATGTACTTTCATGTCTTCTGAGAACATTATTTAATATAAGCCTTGTGGATTTATTCTGCTGCTTTTTAATACTCTTTAATTAGGAATGAACATCATGCAGGTATTGTCTAAGATGTAAGGCAGTGGTGACATTTTAGGTTTACAGTGTTCTCTGACTAATCTGGTGTTTCAGACTGTAATAGGTAAATACAGGAAAGTAAAAGTTAATTGTCATAATATTGGAAGGAGTAAGGTGATTCTGACATGATGAGCCTCTAACTGGTCAACTTTTGACATCTATTAGGCAGGTGGCATTCTAGTTTCAATCTATTTTGACAATTTTTTTCTGGGAAATAAGATTTGAATTTTGATTGACAAAGAACAATGCTGAATGATGCACTATTTATGCACTATATTTATTTATTAATATCATATTTATTAATGCTGTGCATCATTTCCAGCAGCGATAAGTCTGTTAATTCCCAATTAAGTAATTTACAGTTATGTTATTGGTGGTTAGGGATGGTATGGAAGTTTTGCCTGGCAGTGTATATCAAAGCCATACCTCTGCATAAAAGCTTTCAGAGATACTAGTATCTGAAGGTGTAGATTGCAAGATTTTGATATAGCTAGGCTGACCAGCAAGCCTCAAAGTATCAAACTGTAGTCAAATAGAGTTTTAATCTATGATGAGAAGACATTCAGTGGGTGTACTGTTAACATAAACCTGGAATATATGCAGTCAGAAAAATCTACCTCCAAGTTACATAGCTGTCAGTAGGTACTATTGCCATGTCAAAGTTAAGAAATTAATGCCATTCTTTCATACCTGTCTCCTTTTTTTTTTTTGGTGCAGCATCATTACAAAGCACAGATGCTTGAGGGTTGTGTGGTGGTGTGCTTTTTGCAGAAATTTTCCCCTCCTGGGTCATCTTTGTGAGAACTGGGATTTCTTCCTTTTCAGTTCCTTTTCAGCCATTGCAGAATGTGAAGTGGAAATCAGCTTACTGTTCAGACTATCTTTTGTAGACTGGAGTAGATATTTTCAAAGCTTAGTTTTTGTACTGAATAAAGTGAATTAGAAATTACAAGAAGAGAAGTAGTATAAGTTTCAATAAGAACTTATTCTAGAGCTGTATGTCTTCTTTTTTTCTATTTAAATCTTAACAGTTCTAGTCAACCAGCATTCTAGTTTAGTTTGCTTAGCTATTATTTCCTCAATTAGCATCTGTGCCCTTTACAGTTAAATAGACTTCCTACCATGTTTTCTTTTCCTTGCTATTATTGTTTTAATGATAAAAAAAACTTTTTTATTTTTGTGAGTCCATGCGGATTCAGTGAACCTGTAGCTTCAAAAGGTCTATCAATTAACTGCTGCACATTGGAAGTGATCATGTCTGTTTGGCTGATTTCAAACATTTGGCCTTTGCAGTAAGTCCTGAAGAGCTGCAACCCCCAAATGCTTTTACCAGGAAGTCGTAAATACAGTTGAAAGAGATTTCAAATTATGTAAAATTTAGCAGGTGTTTTTTGTTTGTTTGTTTGTTTTTTTCCCCATGGGCTTACCTGTGTTAGAATGTCTAGACTATGACAAAATTATTGGCTTGATAAACAAGGAGACCCTATGCCTCTGGAAGAATCTTTGGTGCTCTTTAGAGAGAAGTAAGATGAGAAGATAGAATTCTTCATTATAGCCAATTATTTTCCCAGATGAGGAATAGGTTATTAGTTTCCATCTATATTTCTGAAACTCAGTGAAAAGATAATGTACCATTACAAATAGCTTTTTTAAAAAATGATGTCTTGGAACAAAAAAGAAACAGGTGGATATGAGAGAGATATTTCCACAGTCTCATGAGATTCATGGCAATTACATCAAGCGTTGGATAGTCCCACCTCCATCACTCTATCACCATCATAGCAGCAATACTGAATTCACCTGAGGATAAAGAATGTGCAGGTAATGAATAGCACTGTTCTGATGGGCTTGGAACTCTTTTAGCACATAAAAATATTTTAAAATCAGTTTGTGGCATTGGTGAACAGTTGGCTTCTTATTGTTCTCAGTAAGATTTATTTTCTCTTTAAGTACTTTTTATGCTTTGTTGCAGTTGAGATTTTTACTGTAAATTGCTTTTAAGATCTTAAAGGATTATTATTGAATTGGCTAAAAATCCAATCAACTTGACAAAGCCCTGAGTGGCAATGTTAGCTTTTCTTTGATTAAAAGGACTGATGAAATCTTGAAAAGCTTCGATTTGAATCCGATGTTACATTTAACACAGTAACTGTAAATGATTTTTAAAAGGAAGAGTAGTCTTTCTAGACATAAACTATATTTATTTTTAAGATTTCTATTTGTTCACAACTGGCCATAAATCAAGACAAGCATAATGCATGTACATACTAATTTAAGCATGTAAAGCACTTCTTCTTTAGCCATTTTCTCAGAAGTGAATGTTTTCTTTGTAACGTCCACTGAAGCCTCAGACTACTTCTTCTGTGTAATCACTTGTAGACTTGAGTGTGGGTGTCTAATGTGCCTTGTTTTTTGTGACCCAGAGGTCAGGTGTCCTCTGCACTCATGCTGTTAGTGTGAGTAGAAAGGTGTCTCTGGCACAGTGAATGAGGAGCAACAGTGTGTGATGTATTTGAAGAACTCCTTGGAGTGCTGAAAGTCAGCAAGAAGAGAGTGAAGTTGTATTTGTGCTCATAATTTGCTGGCAAGTTATGTGAAGAAAGTGCATGGTGACCTGTATATCTCCTCCAACAAAAATTTCAGTGCACAGGGCAAAAATCTGTTGATCAGGATTGTTCTCTAAAAATAGTCTGTAGCCATGTTGTTTCTTCCACAGAATATGCTACATGTCAGCTACAAGATTTTTCAAGCACAGTTACATTAGCATTGCCTACATAGTATAGATAAACTCTGGAATTACAGGGAACTGCGTAACAGTTAAACTGTTAATTGGATGTCATTACTATATGGATGGCACACAGAGGTGAATGAGAGATAGAATACATGGTAATATTCATGAAAGAATTGGTCACTAATAATGCCACTGTTTATTCGAGGCCTAATTTAATTTAATTAGGTTTTGGGTGTTATAAGTGTATTATTAATTTTCACATCATAATGAATAATGCCATTTCAGTATAAAATGTGATAACTAAACACTGAGCAGTCGGCTTCAATAAGGTCTAAGACCCTCATAGAGAAAGTACTGAAGCATGGGTTGGATGAACAGACAGTGAGGTGGATCTGAAAGGCTGGGGGGACAACCAGGACCAGAGGATAGTGGTCAGTGATGCGAAGACTAGTTGGAGGCCAGTAGTGAGCAAAGTACCTTGGGTGAATAGTGGGTCTAGTCCTGCATTAATGATCTGGATGTTGGGGTGGAGTGCACCTTCAGTAAATATGCAGAAGACACAAACCTGGGAAGACTGGTATTCTTGTCTGCATATACAGACAAAATATGGCAGTATGCCCAGAAAAATGATTCCTCCCCTCAGCTCAGCATTGGTGATGCTGTTGTGTCGAGTTCTGAGGCCCCTGGTACAAAGCAAGACATGGATGTACTGGAAAGAGTCTGCTTCAAGGTCACCAAGGCAATCAAGGGGCTGGCCACTTCCCTTTGAGGAGAGACTGAGAGCTAGGGCTGTGCCTGGAGAATAGAAGGAAGGGAATCTGAGTTCCTGAACTTTTGCACTACATGTTTGTATTGGTCACTGAAAAGGAAAGTGTGATAATTAGCCACAGGGTTTTGTTGTTCAAAATATTTCTTGAGAATATGTCTATAGTCTCAAGAGTAATAAATTCTTCCTATTGGTTTAGGTTTTATTAGCATTTGGTTTTCCCCAAAAGTTTCTAATTTCATTGATGTTCGTGATTTATCTGTTTTTAAACATGCTGATGTTTAAAGTTGATCCTTCTTCTTTTCAACTTACATATCTGAATTTAGTGTACAGTTCTTTTCACCTAATTTTCTTTCCAATAGTCATCGTTGTGTAACTGTTACATCAGAAATATAGTAAGTATCTGTGTCTCTTCTAAAACTTAATATTTGAAAGGATAGAAGAAATAACATTATTTTATCTTTTTGGTTATTTAAAATTAAAAGAGTATATTTGGAAATAAATCATAACAATGTAAGATATTTGTTCCTGATCTTATTACATGAAGAAGTTGTGCTGTATGGCCTGGGTTTGTAATTGTGTATGTACCACATCAGGAAAGTCCTCCATAACTAATGCTGAAAAAAATGGAGAACCATGTTTCTTTTGATCCAGTAGGAGAAATAGAGGATGGTGCCAAGAAGCCTAGCAGATAGATCTCTCTGTGGTGGATGGATGTTGATACTGTACGTTAGCTACTAGTAAGTGAGTGCACGGGAGTGCACTCTATATTTTTTTTCTAATCCATCTTGCTGTTTTTGCACATATAATTTTAAACTGATTACTTGAATATATTATTAAAGTATATTTTCTGAGTAATGTAAATCTTTGCTGTCTGAAGGTGTTAGGTACAGCTATCTTATAGGTCAGAAAGTCAAAAAGCAAAGGTAAATATGCACACATTTATGCACTGAAATTATGACCTGTGTAGAGAGAATACGAGAGAGAACCCTGAGTAAATAACCTTTCAGCAACAGCACTTTTCTGTGGCTGGCTACCGCCAGTAGAAATGTGGAGTAAACATGCACTGACAGATTAGCTGAAGCTTTGATGCAGCAGGGCTGAAGATAATTAGCAATCTGAACAGAGGTATCGTGTTCAGAATGCTGCTATGAAGAAACACTGAAGCCTTTGCATGGGAGATTCAAAACTTGCACTGAATAACAAAGCATATTTCCTTCTTACAGTGACTGCTGTATTTTCACCATTCTTGGCATTAACCTTCACTAGAAGATTGGAGCAGATTAAAATTTCTATCTATTGTGGTCAGGGTGTTCATTACTCAGGGTTCACATCATCAATTGATAAAGCTCTGGTTTTAACACCTGTGATTGACAGCTCCACTTTTCTGTCCAATTGCTTTATCTAGTAATTGTAAAAAACATACTAAGCACTCTTAGGGGCTGGTTTAAACCAGTTGGATACCTGCTTCAGAAATTAAAGGCAGTCAGTGAGAAGAGCATAGTTCTTTGATATTTATTTATTTATTCTTTTTTTCCAAGAATATAACTCTAGATATGTTTGAAATGATAAATGTTTATAAAGTTGAGGACATCGAGTAAGCTTCTTATGGGCATATAGATGCAATGGCTTTGAAGTTATTTTCAGCATATTTTGAGAAAATCATCATTTGATGTCAGAATCATTGTATACTTAAAGGAATATTCCTTAATGGAGCAATAACATTTCCAGATATAGCAAGAAATCTCTTTGATAATAACCAGTCAGAATAGGTTGTTAAATTCCATTAGACATTTTTGAAGTATTGCTAAATATGTTGTAAATAGGAAAAAAAATTAATACATATAACTGCAAATATGTATATATAAATATAGAATAAAATGTACATATCTATTTGTCTTTCAGGGGTCAATAAACTGATCCAACATTTACACAAACACAACATACCCATAGCTGTTGCCACTAGTTCAGCTGAAGTGACATTTCAGATGAAAACATCCAGACACAAAGACTTCTTCAATCTTTTTCATCATATTGTGCTGGGAGATGACCCTGAGGTGAAGGGTGGCAAGCCACAGCCTGATGCATTTCTAGTTTGTGCAAAGAGATTTCACCCTCCTGCACCTCCAGAGAAGGTAAGGAGGGGAGGGAACAAATTACCTGAATATATTTTTTTAATATTATAAATATTTAGTTTAGGATTTAAAGAAAAGAAAAAGAAAAAGGAAAAAAAGCAATGTCTTCATCCCCCAGTAGTGCTTATATTGTTTAAGTGAGGTTGTTGGAAAGTGTCATTCCACTTCACCGCATTATAATATTTGTAATGCAGATTACTCTGATTTACTGCATGGTACTGTGCATAGGAAAGTTCAGTGATTTTCCTCTCTGTATAAATCTTCAAATATAACTTCACTACTCAAATTTTAAAAAGAGTTATTTAAACATGGATCAGCTTACTTTTCACACCTTCCTGGTTGATTTAGCTAAATACTGAAGATACTTCTTGATAAAGAGGGGTATGTATTTTTTCTAATCCATCTCTTTTCTTTTGCATTCTAAATCTCTGAGATCATATTTCTTGTTTTCTGATTTAAGACTGGTAAGTTTGAGCAATCTGTAGCAATGTTTAGTTTCTCCTTCATATATAACTTTGCAAACTTGATTCTGAAATAGAAATCTGTAGGGAGAATATATCAAAGATAAATTGGTAGTGAGAACATGTGTTCACTTTTATTTCAAATAAAATTATCATTCTTCTGACAATATTTTTTTCACTTCTTGTCTACCCTGAGTGAAACACAAATTCTGATGTTTTTGAGTTTCATTATGGCAGAAAATGCATTGCATACTAATTTTTAACTTTAAGTGTTTTAGATTGTGATTACTGATTTTTCTGTAGGATTGTTGAGAAAAAAATGTGTATGCAAAGATGTAAGGAATGAGTAGATAAGATTCTTCAGCCTTTCATGTTCTAAGTTTTCATCCAGAGACCAACTGGTATTTGTGTTGGCTTGGAATACAAATTGAAATTGTTTGCAATGAATGTATGAACAGTGTTTACTAAACTTTTTCCTCTTTTCATTCTGAATATGTGCATTAATTTCATTTCAAAAACGTACCCCAGTGTACTTGACCATTTGAAGTGGAATTGTTTAGTCTGGAGAAGAGGTGGCTTAGGGGAGACCTTATTACTCTCTTCAACTGCCTAAATGGAGGTTGTAGTTAGGTGGGGATAGGACTCTTCTCCCATGTGACTGGTCAGAAGAGAGGTAATAGCCTTAATTTGTGCCAGGGGAGGTTCAGGTTGGATATTACAAAAATTTTTTTCTCAGAAAGAATCATAATGCATTGGAGCAGGCTTCCTGTGGAGCTGATGGAGTCACAATCATTGAAGGTTTTCAAGAGAAAGGTAGATGTGGCACTGAGGGGCATGGTTTAATGGGCTTGGCAGTGATTGTTAACAGCTAGACTAGACAATATTAGAATCATTAAGACTGGAAAAAAACTGTTTCTATAAGGGGTCAGAACTCTCATGAAGAATCAGTGTGTTCTATCAAAAAAATTCCAAATGATTTAAAGCTCTCTTAATTTAAAAGTGTATTTTCCTTAGCATTTTTATTCCATTTCACATTAATTAGCTGATCTAACAGTTATGAATATTCTCTGCATCAGATCTAGTAAGAGCTCATTAAAATTTTTCAGACTGATTAAATGGCATTAGAAGTTGAGAGCCTCAGTGTCTTATGTCATAGAAAAGAGAAGTCCAAAGTGAAATTTCTGAAAATGCTATATCACAAAAGATATGGAAGAGCAATATAAATTCAGGACGTTGTGACTGTTATGCAGTACTAGTCTATATTGCACAAGAAAGCAGATTTACAAAGCTGGTATACCACTTAATGACCATCATTACTGTGAACTTCTGTAAAAAGAATATCAAAAACCAAGTTTTATTTCTCATGCCTTTTTTCTTTCTTCTTTGTTTCCCTCTATTGAATCACTTCTACTGTGTGCATATAGTATATGTATTTCAGTCACTATGGTTTTCAGATAAGGAGTTATTTTATTAGTATTATTTTTTTGTTATTTTTTATGTATATCTGGAAGTTGAATTTATTAAGAATACTCTAAATAAGACAGAAATTACAAAGGCATGAACATTCTAGGCAATGCACTGAGCTGTAAATTACAATTCCTGCTGTTGAAATCATATATTTTAGTCATCATGTCTGCCTCTTTTCCATTTTGTAAATAAATTGACATATACTTTTTTCTGAGTGTTTACAATTCAAAAATCAGCCATTTTATTTTAGAAGTAATAAAAGCATTAAAAGAAAAATATATAGATATTTTTCACTGTAGTTCAAACATTCATAAATAGCTCTTCAGCCTTTGTTCTAGTCTGTTTTTTAAATAGGCCTACTGTACCAATTTTTCTTCAGCCAAAACACTCTTTCAAGTATCTATTCATGCTATATAATGTAAGTGTCCAACCTTTTGGCTGCATTGAATGAAGAAGAATTGTCTTGGACCAGTGTTTCAGTTGTTTGGCTGGACTGGTTGGTGGGGAAAGAGCCACTAATATGTTGGCATGGTGGCAGGGCATGGGGCACATTACTAGCTGTTCCACTATGTTGGACGTGCCTGCTGTAAGTAAGTCATTTTGACATACCTGTGCTCTACTGGCCTGTCTTCTTGAAATCTCAGTTTTTACCAATTATTTTAGCATATTGCTAGATACTTGCTTTTTGCAGTGGAATAACCTCTGGCCATAATGGTCTTAGTAAACCTGACTTTCAAAGCATTAGACTTCAGTCAGTGGTGTAAGTTAGTGATGTTTGTAGTATATTACCATTGTTCTAGATGTGTTGAGAAGCAAATACATCTTGTACCAGAAGCCACTTGCAGAGTGAAGAGGGAAAAATGTTTAATATCCTTTCTAGCTTCTGGTAGTTTTTTAGATGGAAGCCAGATTTTTTTTTGTTTGTTCACTTTTTTTTTTTTTTTCTGAAGTCACTTCTCTGTACTGGTCATTGGTGAATTTGGATAAAGCTGTTAGTAGATTGGAACCAGTAAAGAATATTCTGTGTTTTGCTGTCTCTCAGTATCTCTATTATCCTTGCTGCACAGTGGCCAAATTTCTTATGAAATAGAAAAGACCCTTCCTTGGTAGCAGTGTAGTTGTGTGGGGACACCAGTTCCTGGGAGATGGCAGGTCTACTGAGTACCTGGTTCAGGACTGTGAATCCACTCCTCTCTGCATAAAATTTTGGAACCAGTCCTGCTGTGCATATGCTATGTATATGCTCAGATATACAACAAAAGCATAGTTCTTTCCCTTGACAGGTTAAGGTTAGGTATGGCAGATTTTACTGTTGGCTTATGGAGAGAGAATGGGAGATGAATGAAGTATGTCACAGCATTTGTGTATTCAGATTATTTTGGTTGTTCCATGAAGAAAGTAAATAAAATCTGAAAAAGTGTATCGGCTGACTTGAGATCAGGACATTTCCACCTGTCTGCCTTCTAGCCAAGATGATGTCCCAAACATATTAGGAGACTACCTTTCTTGCTCTATACTTTCTTGAGAAGTGAGATTTTTTTATTTTTCCTGTGCGTCCAAAATTGCCCAGCAATAGTCACAGCTTGTGTCTATTTCTCAGGAACTAAATATCTCTTCTGGTTACTTGTTTGCAAAGCATAATTGGAAAAGTCATCCCAGGTCACTCTTAAACCATCAAGAAATGTTGACTCGATAGACATTGTAGCAGAAATCTGGGACCGTCATTTCTCTTCTAAAGCTAACCTGAGGAGAAGGTTGCCTTTATCTTGGACACTGAATTTTATTTCCTGAAAAAAATAAAATAAATCAGAAAAATAGCCTCTAGATCACTGTTTAAATTGATAATTCAGTCTTCCAGTTCTTCTGTTTCCCTAGAGAATGACCTACTTACAATAGGATATACCAGCTGTTGTTTTCTCCAGAATGTTCCTGACCACAACTTTTTTCTGAATGCATAAGGCTTTAATTGTTCTTGCTTTTCACTATGTCTGAAAACTTATTTACAGACTACGTTTGAGCAAGCTTTAATTTTATTATTTAGGATGTGTCGCTGGCATAGCTCTTGAATTTTAATGATTATGGCCCATTGCAAAATAATCAAGAGCATATCTTTAGTATTTTTTTTTGTTTTATTAATAGAAATTATATATATATGCAACTACTTTATCATGATTCACTGAATCTTACTATAAAATCACTAATGGAAGATTCTCCATTAAAACTTATTCCTTCCTTGTTATATTATTTCTTGTATGCCCCAGATAGCTGTGTAATTTGTTATATTTCCTGTAATCTTCCAGAAATTGGCCATCATCTCATTCTCAGGCAGATCTATTGAAATCATCTGTTATTTCTTTTATGCTCACAAACTATGACTCCAAGCATGCAGAACTTTTTTAGCACTGTATTTAAAATGTACAGCATATAATCACCATTCATTTTAAATTATATGCTGGAATAACTAGTTCATGCCTGATCATATAGTATCACACAAGGAGAATTTTAGTATCAGAGCTGCATGTTTCCAGAAATAAACTGGGGGGTCTCAAAGACTTTCTTAAGAGGCAAGTTAGGATTTTCTTTCTATCTTTCAGGCTAGAGTGGGCAAAAGCATGAAACTAGTTTATCTGATTCAAATTCCTTTCTCCCAAAAATTGTCTTAAAAGGGCAAGCTAGTACTTTTAATGAGTATTAAAGGAATTCAGTCTTTGAAATAAAGAAATAGAGATTTTTTTGTGTGTGTTATTGGCTTTTTATCTTGTTATCTATGTATTTCATTGTCTACACAGAGATAACTACCAAATCCCTCATTAACTGGTAAAGACAACAATACTGGGAGGAGCAGCAATGACATCTGTGTGGGATGTCTAAGATAAACTTAGTGCATGTCCTGAAAAAAAACTTTTTTCTCTCCCAGTTCTTCATGCAGAGTTTTTTGTTTGTTTGTTTAAACTGTGCTAATATTGCCCTGATGGAAATTAATTCTAAAACTGATGCTTTTTAATTAACAGAAGTATAGTTTTCAGCTAAAATGCTCATCTTGTCTACAAATTAGTGTCAGAAGAAAGACAG